GAGCATCCAAACAACCTCTTCTAGTGAAATTTTTGATGTGGGCTCTAATGTGATTGTTTAGAGCCTCGGCTTCATATAAACATTTTCCTTAAATTTTATAGTTAGTATTAAAAATAGATTTTTGAACTATCACATGAGTTTAGGGCAACCAAATTGCATCTATTGATAAATTTTGGGGGGTGTGCCTTACTTTGAATGTTCGAGGTTGACAACTTATGTAAACCACACCCCAAGAAAAGTCCAACCTCTTTAGTAAAAGCTTGTTCCTTATTACCACGAGTGTGTGCACGTATTTATAGGATTCACCATCGTAATGGTGATCCAAATTTTCTTTTTTTTTGTTTTTGAACATACAAAATCTCTCTCCTAATTCTTTTTTGCCATAAATTGCGTTAAACTGCCTAATAATTACTTTTGAGTGGTTTTTTTCAATTGTAGGAAGGTGCATGTTGTAATTTAAAATTCCTCCAAACTTAATTCTAATTTAACAATCAAAAGAATCTTTGCGATTTCGTTATTGAAACTATTGGCTATTACAATTATTTGATTACAGTATATAGCTATAAAATCTCAAATATACTATTGCTTAAGTTACGTATTACATTTTCAAGAGATATCATTGCACATACCATAAGCCAATAGAATATAAAAAACCATTGTTCATCCATTGTTGTACCACCATCTAAAGAAAGGAAGGATGGTGATGGAGGAGTGGGACCCAACCCGAAATAAGTCCTATTCTCCTCCATCATCCTGATATCCATACATGCATGAGCAGTGGCCGGGTTGAACTTGAACAAGCCAGTTTACATAGACTTAGCCACTAGCTGAGTCCAGGGGTCCACCCTCCAAGGGTTGGAACCCCCAACTTGATCAGTCCAAAACCGGTTTTTTTTTTCCAAATGTAAAAAAAACGAACACCTGTAAACGAGCGAGTTTTCACATTTATTTATTTAATGTTACCCGGTTGGTTAGGCTATAGGCTATTAATATATTTTAGGCTATAGGCTATAGGCTATTAATATATTTTATTATTTGTGATTGACCTTAAAAAAATTTTGGGACAATCTTGCTTTTGTCTTTACAAATATTTTTAAAAATATTATTTTCTTCTTTGGACAATTTTCTCTCATTTTAATTCTAAACTCGCAAGCGTCAATATGATACAAGCCTCTAAAAGGAAAATAAATTGAAAATAGATTGAGTGCATATACTACTATCCTATCGGAACATCCATACATTGTACACATCCTCCCTCGAGCAGAAGGCCTACCTAGGAGGATCTTTTTAATCCAAAAGTTTTGGTTCCATCTAATATAATTTTAATGGAAAAAAGTTTGGATTTCGAGTTCTTGTACACCTCTTCCCTTCTGAAAAATGGACGGTTCATGTTGAATATTGGGACGTTAACTTTTTGGAGCCACATAGGGAGTTTTATTTTTAATTTTTAATTTTTTAAAAGTAAAAGAGAGCCCTGCAATGACGACAATGAAGCTGCTGAGGGCCAAAACACATGTCAGGGTAGAGGAGAGCACGAAGGATGAACTAGTCTAGGAGGCTTTGACCTTGGAGCTAATTCGCCAAATACTGCGGATTGGCAAAGGCATACAACTGTGGCACTACAAAGTCCACAAAGGTTCACTTAGAGTTTTGGCAGTGTGAACCCTGACAGCAAGACACAAGAATACCCGAGCCCCATCGACACTCTTATTGCTACTTGTCAATATTAGGTGCACTTTTTAACTCCTTTTAATGATTTAATGTATGTAAAATTCTAAATTGTGTTGTATATCTCTCAAGTCTGCATAAATAAATTTACATTAGATATCATTTGAATAGTCATTTTTCATTAATTTTTATTTTTCAAAATAATTGTAGATAATAACAAAAAATATATAAAATCCATATTAATTTTTTTTCATTTTTTTGGGGGCATTTTGTCTTGCTTTGAAAATTTTTTTTACTTATCTTAGTTATTATCAGTTACTCGAAACGGGTGATGGGCGTCGCCCGACCCGAGTCATGCAAGCCAACATCGTGCACGAAAACGCATGCAAAAGTGCCAGTACGAGAATGTTTTGGAGCAAGACTTGGATTGATGACTAATCCTTGATTAAACACTAGTTGAATGGTCGCACGTGTGTTTTACAACATTGG